GGGGGGTTAGTTTATTTTTACAGGCTAGTTGATTTGTTCAGTTTAGCTTTAGTTTTAGTAAAAGTTTACGGCACATACAATAACAAATAGGTTACAGATCTACCAGCTTCTTAGCAGACAGATGGAGAAAAAAATGAACTTTTAATTTTAATTTTACTCTAACATAAAGTCAGTTTATTAGGTCTGTGGGGTAATAGAAAGGATTGTTCATTGTTGAGCGGAAATTCGGGCTACACAAATACTGTCTATTATTACTTTAAAAATTTATCTAGCCACCGATAATATTAGTCTTTCATTTAGTCGCTAGAGCGAAAAATATTCATCTAGCCACCCATAATTTTAGTCCTTCATTAAGTCGTTAAAAAAAAATATTCATCTTGCCACCCATAATTTTAGTCTTTCATTACGTCACCAAAAGAAAATTAATCTAGCCACCCCTACTAGGTCATAAGCTGACAAAACACCTTCTTTTATTTTGGCGCCAACATTTTTTATTTGCTAAATCGAAAGCCTTATATCAGTTACCCTACTTGTGTGAAGAAATCAAAGCGAAACTGACACAACTAAATCTAAAGTCTTATCAGTCACCCTACTTATGTGGAAAAAAAAAATCAAAGTGAAACTGAGACTAATTTTTGAATAAATTCAAATTCACAAATTTTGGAAGAACTCTATTTTTCAATGGTTACTCTATTTTTCAATGGTTACTCTGACCAAAAAAAACGTCTTTTTCTGGAAACTGACGCGGCAGCACTGACCTGGTCCATGTGGAACTTGAGCACGTGCGTCATGAAGGTGGGCAGCTGAGTGAGCCAGGTGTAGAAGCCCCAGTTCTCCACAAAGTGGGCCACAGCGATCGCCCACACCGGGGCTGACCGCACGATCTGGAGCAGCGGGGGGTGGACTCGCTGGACGTAGGAAGGGACCATCACGTTTTTAGATCAGCATTTTTTACAGCACTTGCAACACAAATTGGTCATTTGTTTCACAATTTGGTCAGCACTAGCAAAACAATTAGGTCATTGTTTGTTTCAATAAGAGTTTTACAGCGCTTGCAACACAATTCATACATAAAAAAACTAAAGATAATCTTATACCTTTTTGGGGACTTTTTGCCCCC